ATATAATATTGTCCTTGTAATTTGTTAGCTTGAACAAGTAATGTTTTTGTTAGGATCATAATACACTTTATGGTTATGGAAGAGTTGGACAAAATGTCTGCAGAAACGATAAGGCAACTAGCTTTTTTTTGAGCAAGGATGACAGATCTACTTGCAGTATTGGAAAAAATAATTTAACACAAAATATGTTATAAGTTTGAAAGTATACTGCAGCATACACGCATGCCCCTGAGCAGGCACTGTCACTTTGCTTGTAAACAAATAGTCTTATGCAATGATACTATAACAGCGAGTTTAGGAATTCAAAAAAAAAAAAAGTTTTTTATGCTTTGGTTGCTCAAAAGTCATGATTTTCCGCTTCTTGCATTTGCAATATGTTAGGAACACTGAAGCCTCCAGGCCTCTGAGAATTCCATATTTCTGCCAAATTGCCATGTGACATTAATCTTTGTAGGCCCCTGTCATGAATACCTGACAAGGACATTTGTGGACTTGTAATGGCCAATTCATCGAGTCCAAGGTATACCAGTAGGAAACGAGCAGCAGGACTCGGACTCTCTGAGCAGTCGTTTTCTACACAGATATGTTTTCTTTTATACATACAGAAAGAAGGCGAAGCTTAGAACTAATAGAGACATTGGGGTACCAGCAACCCACATAAAATATGGACAACAAAACCGACCAAATCTAGGCTAATCTTTGTCAAACCATTTGTCTTGTAGAAGCTCCGCTGCCGTTGGCCTATCCCTAGGGTCAAGCTTCATTATTCGCAGAATAAATTCTTTGTCCTCCTTGGATAACTCTTTCTCCGAAATTCTGACAAATGGCTTTTTCCGTTCAGGTGGAATACTTTTCATGATGTACGCCAGGAAATTCAATGTGTCACGGTTGCAAAGCTCACGATATGTTAGAGGGAAAGGCCCAAAAAATTCACATTGTCTTTGAAGTATCTTCAATTCATACTCCTCGTGGTCTGCAGGAACATCAGGCTTGAACAGAAAAAAGTTGTGTCCATATAACAAAGATATAAGCTGTAAGAGGATTAGCACTGGTTTATCATAGAAGACAGGTTTTTATTTTGAAGATACCATTGTGCCAAACGACCATATATCTGTTGCTGTACCCCAGTGAAGGCGAAGATGCGCTTCAGGGCTCCTCCATATAGGTGCTCCAATTAGGTCACCATCCTTAGCGTATGCCGAATCGGCAGGAACAGTATTTCCACAGTCTGCTAGTTGAATATCTTTAAAGCGTGTAGTCCCCTGTCCGTAGTTTACAAGGATATTATCAGGCTTGACATCTGTAGGATGTGTAAGAACTAAAACGCTTGATAAATGTTTTCGGATATACCTGTATGGACAAAATTATGCTCATGTAGAACCTTTAAGGCACTTAGAACACTTCTGGCAGCAAATTTAATCTCCTTGTCTGTAAGTCTCTGAGAGGCACAGGCATTGAGAAGATGGTCGTCTAAATACTTCAGAACGATAGCTGAAGAGTCAACTGGCTCAACAATTTCATCGATTAAAGGTCGAATAAAGGGAGTTCGACCTTGAAAGTGCTTTAATACATCTCGCTCGTTTTGAATACGAAAATGATTAACACTTTTGATAACCACCGATTGACCTCGGCCATCCCTGCTTAAGATCCACTGTGAATTGAGCTCCTTGGTCGGGGATTATAGTTCATACTTAGCAAGCCAAACTGTTTCCTGAAGTTGTTTGAAGATAGTGTATATACCATGTTGGCCTCGAAGGGCCTGGCCTATATGGATAATAGGAGACATTTATGTGTGAAGAAGACATCCAAAAGACACCTTCAGAGAGAATAGTAAAAGTAGAGAGGACGGGATGTTCTACAACCGGATTTACTGGTCGCCGATCGGATAAGCATGTGGGACCGGGATCAATGTTTATCCAGAGGGCCAATCACCGAGAGGCATTGAATCGGGGGTTGCGAAATGTGGCTGTGTGGTCGGAGTAGGTTTTTTCGTGGGGTATATAAAATTAAGCAGTGATTGTGACCATTTAGTGGCTATTTTGTGACTACTTTGCCTTGGTTTACCGCCAATGGGCTAGAGTCGGGTTTAGCCCGGGACGGGTCAGTCCTCTGTACATAGAATAAGTGTTATCCTAACACCACCCCCCCATCAAAATCAATACAACCATCAAGATCTACTCTCCAACACATCAATTTAAGCCAAGAGCATATAAAACTCTCTAAAACAAGGCCCATGGTTCGGTGAGCTGCGGGGCATGCATAGATTACGTCGACACTAGCTTTCAGTGCGGGGAAAGACCTAAAGTATAGTAAGTCTGAACTATAGTTCCGAAACAATATAACATCCATAATATTATAACATCTTTTTCATTTACATCAAAGTCGAATCAGACACAAAATGGCGGTACATCCACCCATTCCTCACCACAAGACAGATAAACTGCTAATAAGATGACCGCAGGAAGAAACCAACCCCTCCTTCGTACTCCGGTCCATCAAAGACCTAGCCTTCGAAGACAGACCCGTCCCCCAGCTCCAAGATCCATGGGACGTGCGGCTCCAAGTCGCGCAGACAGGTATATGCGGATCAGACGTGCATTACTGGCAACGCGGACGGATCGGGGGTATATCCTTGAAATGCGACCTCCAAGTAGCGAGAACTAACTCGGTTCCGTATCAGATTTCGTCCTCAAAAGCCCTATCGTACTCGGGCATGAAAGCTCAGGCACTGTCGTGGAGATCGGGTCTGCAGTTACGAATCTGCGGATCGGGGACCGCGTAGCCATCGAGCCTGGGATTCCGTGTAGACAGTACGTCTTTTACTCTCGATAAGTAGGAGATGGAGTTAACAAATACAGCTGCGAATACTGCCGCAGTGGTTCCTACAATCTCTGTCCCAACGACCGGTTCGCCGCGACGCCGCCCCACGACGGCACGCTATCCAAGTACTTTCTCACACAGGCTGACTTCTGCTACCGTCTTGCGGACCACATGAGCATGGAAGAAGGGGCGGTGGTGGAGCCGGTAGCGGTCGCATGCCAGATCACCAAGGTAGGGGATGTACGCGCGAACCAGAAGATCGTGGTCTTCGGATGTGGGCCCATCGGTCTTCTCTGTCAGGCTGTGAGTAAGGCGTACGGGGCTGGAAAGGTAGCCGGGGTGGATATCAGTGTCGCGCGGACGGAGTTTGCGAGGACGTTTGGTGCAGATGGGGTGTTTGTTCCGCCGGCACGGCCGGACGAATTTGGTGAGGAGGAGTGGAATGAACATGTGGCGAGGGTGATTAAAGAGCAGTTTGAGCTGGGTGATGGGGCGGATGTTGTGCTTGAGGCGACGGGGGCGCAGGCTTGTATTCAGACGGGGGTGCATTTGACTAAGAAGGGGGGGACATATGTGCAGGCTGGGATGGGGCGGGAGGTGAGTTGATTCTACTGTTCGTTCTTAGTTTCGGTCACTGATGAGGGTTAGAATGTGGTGTTCCCGATTACGGCGGCTTGTGTTCGGGCCTTGACTATTCGGGGGTCGATCCGCTATAGCGCTGGATGCTACGCTACGGCAGTAGACTTGATTGCTAGCGGAAAGGTGGATGTGAAGCGATTGATCACGGATCGATTCCGGTTCGAGAAAGCAGAGCAAGCATTTGAACTGGTGAAACAGGGGAAGGAGAGTGTGATCAAAGTGGTTATAGAGGGGTATAAAGAAACCTAAAGCAAAGTACGCATGAATTGATATTGGTATATGAAACAGACAAGTTCGCAAGGGAATCGAAAACACCTGAACCAGCAGCACACCGTAGTACATCTCATACAGCTCAACCCTCACTCTTAAACTCCAAGTCCAACTTCTCATAAAGCTCCGATCTCCGATAAACAAACCCACCCTTCAAATACTTCTGCATAAGAAACCCGACAGCCCCCTCCTCATCCTGCAGCGCCTTCCACCACCACCAGTCCTCATCATCCCGATACTCCCTCCGAAGCCGACACAGCGCGAAATCAATCATAAACACCCTAAACCCCTCCCCAGCATCCCCAGACACAATAAAACTCCTCGTCTTAACATCCTTATTCAAAACCCCCTTCTCACCTACACGATGAACAATAGAAATAGCCTCCTCACAAACACCCTGCCAAGCATCCCTCGGCGCATGCGCAGCAATATCCCTCAACTGAAAGCCACGAACATACTGCAACAGAACCCCAGGGATATCCGTATACTCATTCGCCGATCCGGCAACTGTCACACAGGCATATAGTCGCGGTACATGCTTCCCTTGAATCTCTTTTAGGGCATGGTACACCTCTACCTCCGTCTCGTAGAGATTACGCATGCGATGATGAAGATACGCTTCATTTTGGGACGTAGTCCATGTACCTTCTTCTTCTTCATCTTCCTCGCCATCATCTCCATCGACGGTGCTATCAGAGTCAAGTTTACGGATGAATGCAGCAGCAGACCCATTACGTATGTAATCGAGATACTGTGTCTCGATGTCTAGCGTCCAGGGCTCGATATCTTCGTCCTCTCGGAACTGGGTCGCGAAGCGTCTATCGAAGAGCTTCAGGGCTACTTCGCCTCCCAGTCCTAGAGATGGGTAGTCTAGGATGATGACCATGGCAGAAGAGAGAGTGAATGGTTCGAAGACTTGGGTGATTTGGCCGGTTATTGTTGTTGGTTGCTGGGTACATGGTGTATCTAGGCGTAGGGTTATAGTGTTACCGGTTACATAGGGACATCTGGGTTCGTTAGTTTTCTTGATTGAATTAATTTCGCAGAATAGATGTATGTTGCTCACGTAGCTGGCTGTTGGTTTGGCATTTTGGAGAGGGGTGTGGATTGGTAGGTTGACTGTTGGGGTGGAAAGAGATGTGATACAATGTTTGTTGGTTGTCACAGTTAAGGTTGATTATCAACTTGTACAGTGTTCTTGGTTGATGATAAAAAGATGGTGATGGTCGGGAAGTGAATATTATAGTGAAGAGAAATAAAAAGAAAAACAATGGGACGAACCGGGTTCGAACCGATGACCTCTTGATCGCACAAAGTGCTTTGTGATGAAGTTAAACTTCAGTCAAACGCGCTCCCAGCTGCGCCATCGTCCCAATTATTACTTTCAGGGTTTTATTAACGTTTATACAAGGGAAGTCTCCTTTTCTCAGCAGCCCTCAACATGGATACCGAAGTAAACCACCCTGTCTAGACTATACTTAGGGTATTCCGTAGTACTATCCATGGCAATCCAGAAATAGTTTCTGAGAAATAAAGTCTAAGTCTCCTATCTCCAATCACACTAATATGATAACTCAATCCATAAATAAGATGCTTTATCCATTCCACGGAAACGCAGATGAACATTGAGCCTGCTTCAAAATATACTTTGGTATCCACCCAAACCCAACTTCAACAAAATAACTCACTCAACCAATTTTACCGACGATCAAAGAGACAAATAACGCTTGGTCCAGATTCAAGGATGTGAGGATCAAACGCCGAATTGCTCAACGGGCCGATAGAGTTTGCGCTTATCCAGAGCTAACAGTCAATAGTGTTCGGCGTTCCACGGAACTGGGTTTTGGGCTTGCTCGTTTGGTGGAGAATTATCGGGGCTTGCTTTCTTTAGAATATTTTGGTGGTGTTTAAGGAGAAAGATGGTTTGCTAGGATGTTTATACGATGATTACAGGGTTGGAGATAGCTTATATACAATGCATTATATTATTTGTTCATGGCTATATGCTTCTTTTTCTAGGTGTAGAACATCACTGAGCCTTATATACATATAAACTAGACATAGATATAGCAGAAAGGTCCGTCGGTAGTGCTCATGATATCCCGCATGGCGATGGGGCTGCCATTGGCGTAGCCGATATTGACCTTGGTATCCAGAGTCGTGTTCGGGGACGCAGGGTTGTTCATGAAGGTGCCGGTTCCGGAGATGGCATTCTGACGTTTCTGCAAGTCCAGGTTCTGCCAGATCCACCACACACGATCGATCATGCCGTGGTGATGCCAGAAGACCACATCGCCGGGGCTGACGTAGACATCACGGCCGGGGTCGCCGCCCGCAGAGTAATGGCCGCCGCCGTGAACACCGATGGAGCCGCTGCCGGGAATGCCCTGCATGGTCATTTGGAAGTCCCAGACATCATCGTTGTCAAGGATCAGCTCCACGATCTTGGTGAACGTGTTATAGCGCTTCAGGATCTCGGTGGTAAGGGAGCGCTTCAGGCAGCGAGGGTTGTACTCAAGGGGGTTCTCGACCATGGTCATGTTGCCGCCGGGGAGGGACAGAGCAGCCGGTCCCATGTGCAGCTGATAGTCCTTGAACGGACCGCTGGTGACGCAGCCACCACCGCTGCCGGGAGGCAGGTCGACGGCAGGGTAGTTGCCCAGGTACAGCTTCACGTCGGGCTGGTTGGGGATGTACTCGCCGTTGCCAGACATCGAAGTCTCGCTGCCGTCGAAGACTTCCGACTTTTCCATGTCGTCGGCGTCGGCACCCCAATTCCAGTATCTGGAGAGGAAACCTCAGTATGTTGGTGTGAGATAGGGGATATCAAAAGAAACTTACGGGTAATCGCCGGTATATCCACACTCATCACGCAGAGCCTGCTCGAACTCGAAGATGAAGTAGCGATGCCAGGCCAAGAAAGTACCCTGTACAATCCATCAGTATATACGTCAATTTGTGGAGTATATTGACCAGTTATTACCGTGTAGTGAATTTGCTGAGTTTGGTTGATATGAGTGGCTACAAAGTCATCATAGCGAGTCTTGGCACCTGGTGCCACATGGTGAGGCGTGCGGGATGGCAACTTCTGGAGACACAACACGGAATTGATATAGTCCTTCTTCTGGGGCTTCGAGAAGGTCCTCCAGTCGCGGCGGACGCGGAGGTTCTGCAGGGTACAGCCTCCGCGCTTGCTCTCGGAACCGTTTGCAACATTGTCGGTCGTGACATTGTACGCAAAGCTGGCTAGCTGATCAAGCTGCGAAGCAGCGACAGCCGTGGAACTGGACGCAGAGGTGGGCAAGGTCGCCGTCGCGGCCTGCGAAGAGGCAGCGGGAAAGGCCAAGGCCTGAGAGGCCAGAAGTCCTAGACTGAGGGCTTGGAAGGCGACCATGATCGTCACGATTGACTGAGAGCAAGAGGGTGACGGGCAAAGAGGAAGACTGGAAAGTTTACCTGCCAACTGAGTTCTTCAAGCCTGGACAGATCAACCACGGATCAAAAGGGGAATCCATGCCTTTTTAAAAGTTTCAACATGCTCAGCACGGATCCTATCAGGGCGAAGGCGATGGGGGGATCCAAGCAACACGAATCCACTCTCCCAAGTACCCAAGCTCACTCATCCCGAACCAAGCATGCACCGAGCCCGTCGTGCCATGCTTCCGACAGGGATCATCATCTCTTTGACCTCCCGTAGAAGGTCTATGCTGCAGCTAATACTCGGATAGTCGGCAAAAAAAGGGACAAAAGCCCTGATTGCTCGTCGGAGTGAAGCGACTGATTCGGGGGAAAGAATTGCCACGATCCATGCCTATCAGGTGGGTGCTGGACTAGTAAACCGTCTACAAAAGTTAAAATGTGTGTGGTTAATGGCGATGGGCTGGCTGTTCTTGGACCGCCCCACTGGTGAACCATTTACCCAGTAGCGCATAAAAGAGGACCCAGGTTTTAATTTGCGGCGACGGCGGTGGTCGAGAGAGTCTAAGGGAGAGTACTAGGCTTTTGGCGTGGTCGGCGGAGTGGAGAACCCTGTAAGGATAGGGTTTAGATCCTCACTACTGTTATTCTTAGGGTTTCGCACTCCTTTCCGTGTGAAGATAGACCCTTACGAGAAGGCACGATGCAGAAACTAGAGAGTTCTACAAATAGGTTTCTGGATAGTGTGTGAAATAAATTAAAATCGCAAGGTGCGTTGTCATAAAAATCGCTCGGATGTCAAATGCAAGTCTACGTAATTTTATGACGGCCTCTTATCTCCAACGCGAGGCACGGACATCCCCAGAAGCCGGGATTTGACTCATCGGAGAGGATGTCAAGAAGTTCGGGTCCAGTGGACCATCCGCTTTCCGCGCACGACTACAGACCAATCTTCCAGACTTCCAATAATATGTCAAAATCCAGGAAGGGACTATACTTCCCCTGAGGCCCTGCTTAACGAACAGACTCCCGCAACTCTCCACCGATCGATAGCCCGAAGATCAGGGCAAAAAGAAACTGATCCAACCGTGGTCACGATTGGCAAAGATCAGCATCACCGTTATCTTTCGCTGCAATTCCACGGTTCAAGCCACGTTCCTTCATGAGTCTGGGTAAGAACCTAAATTCACCTTCACTGAGGCCGACCGTTGTTAGTCGACTCGGTGTTTTGCGAGCGTGCCCTAACTAGTTATTCTCTGCAAATAGTTGTGCAAGCAACGCTCTCCACTCTCGGAGAGTTTCCAATTTCTGCTGCATATGAAAGCGAAATTAACCACTTTCACGAGAAAGACCGTCGGGGCGTTGGCCCAGACTGCTTCAGGGCCTCGATGACCGATACCTCGGTAGAATAGCTTGCGCTTGGGCGCGCGCATGGCACGATCACTAGTTGACCCACCTTCCGACTATTCCTGATTAACGCTTGAACCTTGGCCATTGTTCCCTAGATTAGTGATTGTAATTGAGTTTTTCTCGCATCCGACGACCTATTCATTGGCCAGGTTTCGACGAGAAAGCTCCTTCGGTCCCAGGCAACGGAGAAAATACCCATCAGCGATTACAGGGGTTTGAAACAGTCGGGGCCATTTCTCAACCCGATAGTTCAACTCAGCCCATGAACTGTAACGACGGAAACTACGCGAGAAATTACGCATAGAAACTTGGAAGGGAAATGGATCTAGAAGCCATGAACCAGAAACGCCTTGGATACGAACTAACCCTGATCCTGGGAAGTAATTATTCGACCTGGTGGACTTTAAACTTCGTAGAGCAGTACCTGAATGATAAAATTAACAACCAAACTTCGGAGAATCCTGCAAGATTCCAAATAGCTTATCCTGCATTGTCCAATATTTGGCTTTTGTGGCTTTTGCTTTTTCTAACGGTTGTCCCCAATTTTGAGATTCCTGTTAAAAAATGATCCAAATGCAACGTTTGTAGTTCTGTGACAACCCTTGACGATCATCATCTTCTTAACTCGTGGTCATGCTATATTCGTGACGCATGTCCGTCCTCGTGGACCTTTTCATCTCTAATTTCGCCGTTTATCTCGATATTCCGGCCACGACCTGCTACTATGGACGAGAGCGCCCATTCCGGCGGCGCAGGCCTGCCAGATGAGAGCCAGGCAGGTCGCATCCTCGCGGCCACATCCATCGTCACAGGATTCGCATTCGCGACCGTCTTGGCCCGAATGTACGTTCGCATCTTCATCATCCGCAATGTGGGATTCGATGTAAGGACTATTTCGCTCATAGATAACCCGAAGTAGCTAACCAGCGTCTAGGACTATACTATGCTTTTGACAATGGCGCTGGTAAGAACACATTACACACCACCCCCCTTGATTTCCTACTCTAATATATTCCCCGCCCCACAGTCAATCAGCGGATGGGCCATAATTATACCCGAAGTAATCTACGGCGCGGGCCGACACACGGTATATGTGCAGGACACGGCAGTCATCGCTCAGCACCTGAACTTTGCAACACAGGCCATTTACATGTGGGCTATCGGTCTCGTCAAGGTTTCCATCGGACTGTTTCTTCTCCGGTTTGCGCCGCGGAAGGGGTACAAGGTGTTCATTTGGGTCGTGATAGGTGCGTTGAATGCTCAACGGCGTAGACCCTTCAACTGACAAATGTAGTATTGATGCTTCTGTACACGACGATCTGTTTCTTTGTATGCTCCCCACTCCCTTATTCTACGGTTGACCTAATCATACCCAGACTCTTGTCTTCCAATGCAAAGATATCCGAAAAATCTGGGACCCCTCGATCGATTCGACCTGCTTTACACCCATACAGCTCCTGAAGCTGAGCTACACCAACACCGGTATATACACTCCACCCAACCCGAAAGCACAAACCATCTAACCAGCACAGCGCTAAACATCCTA